ATAGATCTGGTGTCAGTTTTTTGCCAACTCTAACAATCTGAAGAAAAAAAACATAGAAATTCATAGAACAGTATTTTTGAAACTCTTGAGTCATAAGATCTATCCTTTCTGTAAAGGGGCCGTAAAATGCGCCTTTTCGAGAAAGAAAGTCCTATTTGTCACTTTGTGATGAAATGACAAACATATTTTCACATTTGAAAATAATATCAAACGTCGACAGCTTCTCTTTATGAAGGCTTAATGAACGATTGACTGTACAGTGTGACGTTTGTTTGCAGGACATGACGAGTACAGGTCGGGCTGTACATCGTGACGATTACAGGAGGGGGCTCTACAGTGTGACGATTACAGGAGGGGGCTCTACAGTGTGACGATTACAGGACGGGGCTGTACATTGTGACTATAACAGGACGGGACTGTACATGGTGACTATTACAGGACGGGGCTGTACATTGTGACGATTATAGGACGGGACTGTACATTGTGACGAGTACAGGGCGGGACTGAACATTGTGACGATTACAGGACGGAACTGTACATTGTGACGATTACAGGACGGGGCTGTAAATAGTGACGATTACAGGGCGGGACTATACATTGTGACTATTACAGGAAGGGGTTGTAAATAGTGACGATTACAGGGTGGGACTATACATTGTGACAAATACAGGACGGGACTGTACATTGAGGGGTTAACAGGACGGGACTGTACAGTGTGACAATTACAGGGCGGGACTGTACATTGTGATGATTACAGGGTGGTACTGTACATTGTGACGATTACATGACGGGGCTGTACAGTGTGACGATAACAGAATGGGACTGTACAATGTGCTAATTACAGGACGGGACTGTACAGTGTGACGATTACTGGAGGGGACTGTATATTGTGACGATTACAGGACGGGATTGTACAATGTGGGGATAACAGGACGGGACTGTACATTATGAAGATTACAGGAGGGACAGTACAGTGTGACGATTACAGGAGGTGCTGTGCAGTATGGCGAATACAGGAAGGGAATGTACATTGTGACGAATACATGACGGGACTGTTTATTGTGACTTTTACATTACGGGACTGTACATTGTGGGACAAACAGGATGGGACTGTACAGTGTGACTATTTAAGGACGGGACTGTACAGTATGACTATTAGATGACAAGACTGTACATTATGACTATTACAGGACAGGGGTGTACATGGTGCACGATAACAGGACGGGACAGTACAATGTGACGATTATAGGACGGGCATGTACATTGTGAAGATTACAAGACGAGACTGTACATTGTGGGGTTACACTGTAACATAACGGGACTATACAGTGTGCTTATAACAGGACGGGACTTTTCAGTGTGACGATTACAGCGCGGGACTGTACAGTGTGGGGTTTACAGGACGGGACTGAACATTGTTGGATAAACAGGACGAGACTGTACAGTGTGACTATTTCAGGACGGGACTGTACATTGTGGGGTTAACATAACGGGACTATACAGTGTGCTTATAACAGGACGGGACTGTACAGTGTAACAATTACAGGGCGGGACTGTACATTGCGACGATTATAGGACTGGAAAGTACATTGTGACGATTACAAGACGGAACTGTACATTGTGGGGTTAACAGAATAGGACTGTACAGTGTGCTTATAACAGGACGGGACTGTACAGTGTGACGATTACTGGACGGGACTGAACATTGGGACGATTACAGGGCGGGACTGTACATTGTGACAATTACAGAACGGGACTGATCATTGTGGGATAAATAGGACGGAACTGTACAGTGTGACTATTTCAGGACGGGACTGTACATTGTAAGGATTACAGGACGGAACTGTACATTGTGACTATTTCAGGACGGGACTGTACATTGTGAGGATTACAGGACGGGACTGTACATTGTGAGGATTACAGGACGGAACTGTACATTGTGGCGATTACAGGTCGAGACTGTACAGTATGACTATTACATAACAAGACCGTACATTGTGACGTTTACAGGAAAGTGCTGTACATTGTGAATATTACAGGACAGGGCTGTACATGTTGACGATAACAGGACGGAACAGTACAATGTGACGATTACAGGACGGGACTGTACATTGTGACGATAACAGGGCGGAACTGTACAATGTGGGGATAACAGGACGGGATTGTACAGTGTGGGGTTTACAGCACGGGACGGTACATTGTGACGATTACAGGAGGGGACAGTACTGTGTGACGATTACAGGAGGGACTGTACAGTATGACGAATACATGACGGGACTGTACATTGTGACTATTATAGGACTGGACTGTACATTGTGACGGTTTCATGACGGGTCTGTACCGTGTGACGACTGCAGGACGAGACTGTTCAATGTGGGGTTTACAGGACTGGACTGTACAGTGTGACAATTACAGGGCGGGACTTACATTGTGAGGATTACAGGACGGGAATGTACATTGTGACGATTACAGCACAGGGCTGAACATTGTGACTATTACAGAATAGGAGTGTACACTTTGAATTTGTTTTATTTTACTTTTTTTATTGTTGTATTATTCAAAAAATAATAATTTTTAAACTATACATGAACATGCACATCCAAGTTTCTTCCACGCGGTACAATCGTGTAACGTGGAGTCATCTCGCTCAGCGCTCCTCGCTCACTCCACGTTCGCAACAAACGGAAGGGAGTGAATGGGATATTCTCCACGGTGGAGAGTGGAGTTGACTTTTTTAAATCTCCCCTCCACGCTATAGAACGCCGCCGCGAAACATAGGGATCGTACATGTATGCCTCCACGTGGTGTGTAGTGTACAATTATTTCTGAAGTTTGAGTACTTTCTAACGGTCATACTCTACTCTTCCTTCTTAAATAAGCGTCCTAATTAGCAGCAATACCCTACTCTTCTTTCTGAAGTTAGACTACTAGCGGTCAACTCCTACTCTTAGTTTTAAAATAAGCGTCCTCTTAATTAGCTGCCGTTATCTTCTCTCATATCTGAAGTAAGAGTACTTTCTATCGGCCATACCATTTTCTTACTTCTGAAATAAGCATCCCTCTTAGTGGCAATACTTTTGCCTTATTTCTAAAGCAAAATACTTTCTAGCGGCTATACCCTACTCTTATTCCTAAAATAAGCGTCCTCTTTAGTCGCAATATCCGACTCTTATATTTAAAGTAAGAGCACTTTCTAAGTTGACATGAGAGGTGCGTTGATGAAGCAGAGCTTACCCTTCGAGCATACATATGTACCTGATCGTATCATCATGGTACTTAAATCAAGGGTCTCAAGTACACATTCCTTGTTATACTCTGTCCTAGGCTCATCGATGTTGAGGTACGTAACTTACTAACGCTCTCTGTATCCCTGGAATATGTCATAGCAAACTTAAAGGCACAAAGACAGCTTTTTGATTGGTATCAGGTACAGTAAAAAAAAAACACCGGACCTGTCCTTTAAAATTACAAAAGAGCGACACCCGATTTACAAGTCAGTAAATTGTTACCGTTAAGACCGCGAGATTCTTTTGATGTACATCAAGGGGTCGAACTGGTCTTCTTATCTATTCAACAAAGTGGTGCACACTGGGCATACGATTTTGCTGTTTCTGATTTTTTTTTATTCACTAACATCATGTTATTATCATTGAAATCGACTGCAATAACTTTCATTAACGTTAAAATCTGTTCCGTCCGTCAAGTTGTCGGTCACGATTGTCTTGGGGTAAAACACTCCCACAACTTTGTCATCTTTCACTAATTAATCAGACTAATTTGCATCCATTTTTAACAGGAAGTTCTGCTGCTGCACGATCGCGCAACTCTCACAGACACAAGATTCACTTACGCACGACAATGTTGCAACTGTAAACAAGTCTGGGATGCCGGTCTCGGGACAAGGCCGGGTTTTAGTACGAAACGGTTAGCGCACCCCTCTTGTGTTTTAGTTAGCAACCAGTGTGCTTCTTAGACCGATTACGGTTATAAATCTAACGTAACACGTATTCACAGGTTTTTCATCATGAAAAGGTCAGAAGTGTGACTTTCACCAACGTTAAAATTCGCAAACAAGATGTCAGCTCTTTTGTTAAATGCAGTAACGATCTGTCTAAGTACAAGTAAGCGTTAGTCTGACGGACACGCTCTCAAAACTTAAAAATGTTGTCCTCGTCAAAAAATCCGCTTATCTCAAATATGTGCGCTGCTCTATTTTAAGGAGACTTCAATTTAGATCTTAACTCTGCAAGTGTTCAGACATATAAAATAAACACCGAGACAGTGTGTCTGTGTCTTCATTCACTAGGTACTACTACAGAAGTGCCACAGTACCTAGTCGAACAGAAATCTGGAGTATGTAGTGATGATGATGGAGTAGTAATATTGTATATTATATTATATTATTATTGTGTAAGACTATGTGTGCGTTTCACTGATATTAATATTAAATTCGATACACAGTATTTGTACTCTATTAAATCAGCCAATTATAAGTAAACATGCATACAAATAGAGGCACTCTATTGAAAACAAAAAGCCTCCCTACTTTAAGTATTGCTTGCTTGTTATATTGTTCTAACAAAACTTGCACCGTATGTTCCAAACCAATGCTGATATTCAATGTTTATACTTAGCCTGTTTTTTATTTTATTTTCTAAATAACATGAAAATGACACGCTACCGACGTCATATCCCCATAAGTTGCTTACGAATGCTTGTTTCAAATTGTGACCATCCGAAGTTATTATCTTTCCCCGGAGTTTGTTGTTTTCATATTCATTAAAATTATATAACTTGTCTAATAACAACCCTTAAACAAGTACTCGTCAAAACAAAGTAACAAATATAGTGAATATTGATGCTCCGTATTTATCCTGATGTGATGTTTAAATAACTATATAATGCATAACACGTTCATTAGTATGTATAAAGATATTTCATGTTGATAACTACAGAATAAATATACACATTACATACACTTTATATAATATTTTACTTACCAGCGAGCCATCAAGGAGAAAACCAATGGGGACGAGGAAAGCGATGAGAATGAGTAAAATACTCCGTAATGCCCACAAACTCCTGAAAAACGTTGTACACGACGCCATGGTTGGTTTGTTGGTGTATTAGATTCCTCTGTTTAGTTAATCGGAGCACCCCGCAATGTATCGGGTAGAGTATGATAAAGTTATGTGCGGACTGTAGTGGCTGGTTGGTTGGTCCGGACGTCACTGAATGATAATATGGTACATAAAAGGGTGTTAAGTCTTTCTATACTACCGTGCACAGTATATATACAGCATTAGTTTGCGTTGTCAACAGTTTATGTAAAGCACTATGGTACATGTATGATAAGGTGGACACACGTTCTGATGAGGCGGTAGACCGTGTCTATATGAAAAGGTTTGGACAGTCTATACCACCAACAATGCAGACACCCAGGTTATGACTAGAAATATGCAGTGTATATATAAGAGTCCTCGGGTGTTTATATGACACTGTAGCTAGCTTAGTCTATTTTAACAGTTTTACGTGGCAGTGAGGACCCTATTTCTGTCCCTATAAAAAATAATATCACTCTACCCAGTCTTTAGATGTGCTCTAGCACTCCGGGCTTATTCTGGAATAGGGTTGCTACTTCCTCTTGTGAAGTATCTAGGACTGTTTAAAGAAACAGCCAGCATGCGGTCGTCCTTAATGGTGTCACCAACCCTATCACCTATACTATCTGCGACAGTGTCTATGATTCTAGGAATGTGTTTCTGACTGGTATGTTCTAGTGCTGGACATACTATGATGAAGTGCAGTTTATCTTCTGGTTCTATGTGGCAGAGTGGGCATATGGGTGAGACTGCATGTTGGTTAAATTTGTTTTTGTTTGCCTGGAGTGTATATGTACCCGTGAGCAGTCTCGCCTTCACAATCGCTTCTTCCACTTGTCTGGGGTTCCTCGCCAGGGTCTTCCAGGGAGAGTGGGGGTTATCTAGCGGGTCCCTTTGTATGTTAAGGAAGCGGAGAGATGGCTTGGATGGTTTGTCCCTTGCCCATTCATTGTACCAGTATTTGCTGGCTGCTTCCTTCACCATTGTTTTCCATGTCTGTTTGGATGGTGGGTTTACACTTAGGTCAAACGCAGAGGGCAGGTTGTACTTGGCGAGCTTTTTCCTGATTTCGACAAACCAGCTGTGGCTGCTCTCGTCCTTGACCTCCAGTTGCCGTAGTGCGATCTCGTGCTCTGCTGTTCCAGTAAGTCGGATAATACATGCAAACAGTGCTAAGGCACTGATGTCCAGGTGAGTAGAGATGGGTGTAGCTCCCAGTGGGCTATATGTTGCGGTTTGGGGGCATCGGTCAGGCAGGTATTGCATCTGTCTTAATAGTTTTGATTCTGCTGACTCTAGGGTAGACAGATCGCTCTGTGTTAGATTGATAATTTCTAGCCCGTACACCACTCTTGGTCAGGAGAATGTATTGTACATGTGCCAGCAGATGGCTGGGTTTATGCCATTTCTGCCATGTAGTCCAGCGCCCAGTAGCGCATACAAGGATTTACGCCCGGTCTGTATCCTCTGCTTGATGTTTTGCCTTTGTTTATGGTGACGTTGGATTCCTAGGTGTGTGGTTGTCTCAGTTTCCTGAAGCGTTTTATCTCCTATAATCAATTATATAGGGGTCCAGAACGTGGGGTGTTGAACATTACGACCCCCCTTTCCCTAGCGTTTATGTTGGCACTATCTTCGGCGTTAAAGTTATGTACTGTTGCTAGGGCGGACTTTAGATCCATAGGATCGGTGGCAAGTAAGGCTATGTCGTCGGGGATCCCACAAAGGTAGTACCTATCGTGGCTCCTAGCATGTTTTTCTCTAAGGCGTCCAGGATCCCATTGTTGAAGCTCTTGTATAGTGCAGGAGACAATCATGCCCCCTGTCGGATTCCTTGCTGTACCATGAGCTGGTCGCTTACGACCCTTTCCATTTTACACTGGTCGGGGCATTGATCTGGAGTTGTCTGATGATCAGCCATGCATCCGACTGTAGTCCGGAGTGGTGGATTTTGCGGAAGCGTCCATCATGCCATACTACGTCAAATGCCTTTTCTGCATCCAGGGTTGCAAGCGCTAGGGATGTGTTGGTGTCTAGTGCTTCGTTGATGGTTTCCGACACTAGCAGTGCTGCATTGTTTGGTGACGTCTTCTCTGTGAAGCCGCGCTGGAGCCTGTTGATAGTTTTTTCGTTGTTTTTTTTTTGAGGTCTGTTTCCAGGACCGATTTGAGGATTTTACTAATGGTCGTTGTGACTGTGATGCCTTTGTAGTTTCCAGGGATTGTGTTGTACTTTCCTTTTTTGGTACTGGCGTAAGAACTCCTTCCTTGAGGATCGTGGGTAGTTTCCTCATTGCTAGTATGTTATTGATGATATTTGTAACGAGTCTTATGACCTTGGGCCCACCATATTTGATGTGTTCCGCTGTGATACCTCGGAATCTGGCGCTTTTTTGCCATTTCAGTAATTTGGTTTATTGATTTCTTCTTATTGGTGGGTATGGAGCTCTCGTGCAGATCGGTGATACAGGTCATCTCAAGTTCAACTAGTTATTTGTGCCTGTCGTCGTAGGGTGGCCTTGGTACGGGTGTAGCTAGAGTTTCGACATGGGTTTTCCAAATTGCTTTAATATCGTTGGGATCAGTGTAGGATATCCCGTTTACCGACAGGCTACTTGTTGCATTGTCGGGTTTCCGTCTTTGCTTGTTAACTGGCTTGTAGAATAGGACCGGGTCGTTTTTATCCGAGTCCATGATTTCAGTATATAAGGCATCTCACTTTGTAGCATGGTGTCTACGCTGAGCGCTGCGCAGGGCTCGCTTGGCTTGTCGTGAGATCTGGTATTGCTGGTTTGTAGGGTCTACACATTTCCCAGAGTCTTTCCAGCTTCTGAAGGCCTGTTTGGCTGTCCTGCCTGCATCACTGATAAGTGGGGTCCATATTCCTTGCCCTCTGTGCGGTCTGTTGGTTTTATCGTGCTTCCAGGTAACCTGACAACCCCCAAAGAAGAATGTCCCCATTAGCCTCCCTACCAAACCAAAATGGCACAGATGAAACATAGAGGAATACCAGCATACCATTGAACAGCTGTTCGACACCAAGAAACACGGACAACCAACACAGAGCCTAACCGGAGAATGTACTAGATGAGGCTGCCCATCACAGCTACTAGCGTATGGTCTGATGTGTTAGTAGGATGGTGGTTTGCTATCTGGATGTGTACTGGCTGGAGCTTATCGCAGAAGATATAGTCAATTTGGGCGGAGTCAGTTCCGTTATGGTGGAAGAATGTTCGAGCTTTTGGGTAATCTGGATTTGGTGTGAGTCTAACAGTCTCCAGAAACGATTTAAAGATCTTGTGTGCTGTGATGGGCTTTGGTCTGTGGAGAGAGCAGTTAAAGTCTCCTGCCAGTACGACCTGGTGGGTGGGCTCGTATTTGGCACATAGTTCCTCGATCTCGTATATAGTGGCCTCCAGATTAGCGGTCGAGTCTGATTTACCTCTACAGGGTAGATAGACGCTGATCAGGCACACAGGTTTTGCGTTTGTGGTCGCAATGCTGATTTGTCTTTTCTGAACACCGTGAGGAAACACTAGGAAGTCATGAGCTCTTTTTTCAGAACGCTCTGTCCTCTAGTCCATATCATCAAGTACATAGTATGTTTTGGTGGACTGTCACTGTCGTATTCACCCATTGGAGGACTCACTCAATTAAATCAGCTAACCAGGGAACAAAACGTACCACTAACTCTTTGAACGTATGGCCGTTCCAAAGTATAGAGTAAAAAAATGTGATAAACTATCTTCAAATGTTTACCAGTCCCTTTCTTCTTTCCAAGTTGGCTATTTTTGTAACATAACCATTAAATAAACAGACATTTGGTAGATTTGAAATTTAATTTAATTTAAGAAGCGATGATCAGTGACACCATTTAGTAGCTGAAGTAGGTTTTTTTCTGCGTTTTTGTCAAATGAGAACAACCAGTTATCTCTAACTCGTCAAAATTATTAACAGTTGTTTGGTCGATTGCCTTTGGTCCTGTGATCCTGAATCTCATTTTCGTATCTTTTCTGTTCCATCCAAGCATTGGTCGTTGACCCGGAACATACTACTGTTGGATGGTAACGTCAGTTCCTTTGTAATAGTAATGGTTACAAGCACTTTGAAACCGTCAATTGCAAAGCGATGAAGTTCACTATCTGTATATAACGATTGGATTGGAAACGTTAGCAAGTTATCTTGCCATTAGGTTGAGCTACAACAATGACCCAACTGGGGACATGTAAATACCGCAGGTAGATGCAGGGATGTTATTATCAAGAAAGGGAAAATGCACGATAGAAAAGTCGACATTGTCCGACTTATCGTACAGCTTAGTGGGAAACCGTGTCTGTTTGTCATTTAGTAACGCGGAGTGTTAAGCATTTCCAAGGGTAACTGCAACAACTGGTTAACCTGTTGTCAGCAAAATGTGACGGCGAAATGCTGTGCCAGGTGACTTCGGCATGGTATTTCAGTGAGGTAGCACTTTAAATTCGGCATCAGAGCCGCGCATTAAAACAAGGAGACAAGTACAACAACATATCCTACCTCGAGCGCATATACACCCATGTGCAGATACACCCATGTGCAGATACACAACACACATGGAAGCACGTCCTTTGATTACCTTAGCTGTATGATTTTCAAACAAAATATTTCTTTCCTCGCACTGTTACATTTCCTTATATAATATTCAGGATGACATTTCTAAATAGAACGAATTGGTAACGATGCATTATATAGAATATAACAATGGCGCGCGTTGTCAATGGCTGTATTGGTGCCCGCTCACGCGTGGTGAAAACTGACCAACATTACCTAATTATTTTTAAAACATCCCAATGACTATTACGAAGAATGCAAGGTGTTCGTCTGCCGTGGCAGGGGAGGTAAGACTTATGAACGCGTACTGACATTAAAACGTTGGTTTCGTTAAGTAACTTTTTCAAAGAAACAGTTTCTCTGGTGTGTCCTGACTCCGCCGGTTATTTGATGTTACAGAATGAGTTCACAGGACATTTACGCGAGTCGTGCTAGTCTGTGTTCTGTTTAGTTGTCCCTATTTGTAGATTTGTGCCATTTTAACATTTTCCCAATCACTTGGTGAGTAACTTGCTTTGTTTGTGAGGATGTGTATCATGAGGTATTCACTTTCTTTCCGTATCTGAGTCTGTATGTGACCTGGGTCTGTTGCTTTTCGGGGTTATATTGTTTGGTAGATATCCTGTTAATTTGCTGAACTGTCTATTATAGTTACTGGTATGATTTGGTGTGGTGATGTTCCGCTATGTATGCAGCTCCTGTATTGTTCTGAGAGCTGCTTAGAAATCTGTCAGGCTTAGGGAGGTTGCTTTCGATATTGTATCAGTAATTAGCTCGTCACCTCTAAGATAGTGTTGAAGGTACATTCGTCAAATGGACAATTCTGCTGGTGGACACTCAGCCCATAAAGACAGGTCATAACATTTAAGATAGAATTCATTTGGGAATAATTTTCAAGTAAGGTTATAGATATATCTCTCTCCATTTACTGTTTTTAGTCCCTCGCCGATTCCCGGGGGACTTATAGGTTTGCACTCCGTCCGTCTTTTCTTCGTACGTCCGTCAGAAAAAATGTACTTTTATACCGGAGCTGTCCAGGCTAATTCTGGGTAAAAACTTGTATCTTTTTCCTATTGGATTACAGTTTTGCGCTTGCGGGAACGTAATTTGGAACGCGCTGTTCCTTTTTGTGTTATCTATTCCTTATTTAAAGAGTAAAAATTCAATCCGAAAAAAAAGGTAAATAAACTTATGTTTATCCATTTTCTATAGATGACATTTTGCTTAACTACGTCAAAAATAAGAGGACAGTATATTAAAAAGAAAGATATATAAGAAACTAGGAAGTAAATATGTTCTATCGTGGCGAGTGGAAAGGGGGATTGGGCGGTGCGGCCAAGATCTTTAATTGTGGATCAAATAACGGTAGATTCATGCTGAAAATAGTTCTGTAAGTATATTAAAACATTGATACATGCTGGTTCTTCGATTGACCAATTCCAACTTAACACAACGTTCCTCAATCTAAACGGAATGCACCACTGGGGCCTGTTCGTTTATGTGGAACAACCGGTTCGTCTGTTTTTAAACGTAACAATTTTTGTTATTTAAATTGTGTGAGCATAACCTATTAGCGTAGCAATTGAAAGATCAAGAAAACCCCTTAGAGAGCAAAGGGTGTGTACAAATATCTTGTTCACGAAGATGAAGAACACTTCTTCTTCATATGTGGCTATGAATTAACGGTAAATATATTCAAAAACTGTTCTAAACTATACGAAAATAGTTTAACTCATATTGAACTGACAATATATGCAACGCATACTTGACTTGTACTTATTCATAAAACAGTCACTTGACCTGAGGAGTGTGGGCCTGGCTTCTGTCTAAGTTTATATATGTGTATATTTATTGGTTTGTTAATTTGCTCCATTGGATTTATTATCTGATAAAACTAAACAAAATAAAAGATTAATCCTTAAATAAATCATGGCGGACATGCAAAAGTTATGTAATCATTGCAAGGCTTTGTCAAGGTTCGCCTAGAAACAGCATCTGACTCCTAGGTCCGACCTTATTTCATAAACGATCAACCCTGGTCCAACCGGTCGTACCGTTCGGATCGCGATTAACGAAATAGGACCTGGTGTTTTATTTGAAACGTGTGGTCACGCGTACGGTATACACGCAGTTAACAGGTAAAGGGACATAACTCAAAGGAAGCTGGAAGGAATTATAAAAAAATAGGCGACGACAGTGTCAGGAATAATGCATTCACAAGTGTGACTTAAAATGAAAAAAGAAAATAAATTGAAATACGGTTTTAATCCCACATTAATGGGTGTTTTTATTTTATTTCGGAGTCGTATTAGTTTATAGTTTTATTTGGTAAAACATTGCATCTATACATATAAAGGTTAAGTACATGACCAATACACAAATATAATTATTTCACCAGGATAACACAGTTGAGTTTTAAATTTATTTCCACAGCGGTTCTTAATATGACGCAATGTCCATTTCACATGTTACAATGTATTATATGTTCATAAGAAAAACAAACAATCATACTAATGGTCAACAGCTATCACAGACCTCATACGGTTATCACATATAATTTTTTTATGTGTTTGAACTTCATTTATTTTACAACAATTATGAAACAAGTTATTTCAACTTATATTAATTACTCTTGTTGGCCCGGATGTTAGCACGAAGGGTGATCGGATGATGCAGTGGATAGCGCACTAACCTTTCACCAAGAAGGCTGGGGTTCGATTCCCCGACCAGACGTGAAAAGGTAGGGTGTCACCTGGCCGACCACATAGGTTTTCTCCAGGTACTCCAGGTAACGAGAGGGGGGAAAACAACAAACAATTTTCAGCTTAAAGCGTTCGATCTGTAATTATAAAGTCATATTCCTAACATAGAAACAATTGATGTCTTTCTATACACAAAATATGCACTGGAAGTTTCGTATAATATTTAATGACATAAACTAAATATACATCAACATCATTTCGATGTGCGTATGAGTGCATGCTGATTCAGTCAGGGGTCACATGTACGTACGAGTGCATGCTGATTAAGCCAGGGGTCACATGTACGTATGAGTGCATGCTGATTCAGTCAGGGGTCACATGTACGTATAAGTGCATGCTGATTCAGTCAGGGGTCACATGTACGTATGAGTGATTGTTGATTCACTGAGGGGTCACATGTGCGTATAAGTGCATGCTGATTCAGTCAGGGGTCACATGTACGTATAAGTGCATGCTGATTCAGTCAGGGGTCACATGTACGTATGAGTGCATGCTGATTCAGCCAGGGGTCACATGTACGTATGAGTGCATGCTGATTCAGACAGGGGTCACATGTACGTATGAGTGCATGCTGATTCAGTCAGGGGTCACATGTACGTATGAGTGCATGCTGATTCAGTCAGGGGTCACATGTGCGTATGAGTGCATGCTGATTCAGTCAGGGGTCACATGTACGTATGAATACTTGTTGATTCACTGAGGGGCACATGTACGTATGAGTGAATGCTGATTATCTAAAAGGGCACTAGCTGTATTTACGATTGCTCACTGAGGGGGCACATGCACGCATGAGTGCTCGGTGATATACTGAGGGGTCACATGCACGTATCAGTGCTCGGTGATTTACTGAGGGGTCACATGCACGTATCCGTGCTCGCTGATTTACTGAGGGTCACATGCACGTATCAGTGCTCGCTGATTTACTGAGGGGTCACATGCACGTACCAGTGCTCGCTGATATACTGAGGGGTCACATGCACGTATGAGTGCATGCTGATTCAGTCATGGGTCACATGTACATATGAGTGCATGCTGATTCAGTCAGGGGTCACATGTACGTATGAGTGCATGCTGATTCAGTCAGGGGTCACATGTACGTATTAGTGCTCGCTGATTTACTGAGGGGCACATGCACGTATCAGTGCTCGCTGATTTACTGAGGGGCACCTGTACGTATCAGTGCTCGCTGATTAGGTTACATTTATTGTGTATAGCGATATGCTAATCATACCAGTAATAAGGTTCTAATATTATTTTGTCAAAGTTTAAGAGTTGGTTTTAAAAAAATCGGTTAAGTACTAATTGGTTGGTTATCGATATCTTTTTTACATTCCATAGGCCGAGATCGCTAGCTAATGTCAAGGTTTTGTGAGAAGTTCTTTCTTTTCACTGATTTTATCACAGTGTTTAACTGCACGCACGTGATGATATAACATTTACAATCGACATGAACCACACAGCTTCGCAAACAAATATCGTACTGTGAACCTGCCCTAGCACACTATAAGATGCTTTCCTGCAAAGTTGTGTCATTCATATGAACTGTAAATGCCATATCAACAAAATTCTATCACCATTTTTGAGTATTTCATTATCATAGAAATTAGAATTTGCTTACATTGAAAATTAAGTATATAGTTCAAATTGGTGCATGTGTAGTATGCATGTTTGTTCAATATACATACATGTATTTAGGGTCAGCCATCTTCCACGGGGGGGAGGCAGGAATTAATTTTGGGTGTTGCCCAACATTTCAAACTCAGAAAAAGACAGATTTTTGCACTTATCTAAAGTTAATAAATTAGAACTTCATGTATACTACATTCTGCCACCAAAAATTATATAGAACTTTTATATTGCTGAGATTGGGACAATTATCCTTACACCAGATTTTTTTTCTGGAGATGTGATCCTAAACATTTTCAAGCACTGCCGAGCGTAGAAAGCAAGAATTTATCGGACATTATTTCCATTGACAAACAGATCGAGTGAGGCAAGGCGTAGAATAGTTTTCTGAGTTTGCAGTATTATTCCAGGTTATATTTTATAACGTAGAGTATTTACATTTTATGATGGCCGGGCGGAGCGAGTGTTAACAAATTCTGTAAGAAAAGTGATAAAGATGTAGGATTTTGGTTAAAATGTTGATGATTGTGTCAGGCCCTTAAAATGGTCACTGGTCAATAGTATGCATACATATGTGCAAGGGCCTAATGGAAAGGATGTACACGCCAGGCTTTTATACTAACATTGGTTATTAATTACCTGATGAAGTGATGCTAAGGAAGGTGCTTCATTGTCTTTGAATTTTTTGAAATCTATATCTTTTAATTGGTATAATAAATCACTCCTGGTGACCTTGTGTACTTGGAAACCACTGACAGGGTGATCACCACACCGTAAGATTATAAGTAGTGGACGCCTTGTTTGTGCAACACCCTTAGGCATATATAGATATTCAAACTGCTAGCCATAGAGAAATCACAGTTCAATGGATGGTTGATATTAGAAGGAAATCCCCTATGTATTAGAGGAAAATCTTCAAAAACCTTGGTCCAGATTAATTTTGGACACAGAAAAAGGGGTGTTGCCCGGGCAACTAGGGCAACACCCTAGCTGGGTCCGCCACTGAGTTACAATTATGAGGTCATAGTAGGGATGACGTCAACACTTAAGCGATGCCATTTCCAGTGTTATGAATGCCATCCAAACTTGGTAAGGTTATATATATACAGTTGTAAATTTTTGATTATACTCTAACGTATTAATACATTTGTATTCCATGATGGTTAACGTTAAGGAATAAAAATCAGTATTTGAAAAAATATTACCGTTTAAATATGATGCTTTCTATATTTAAAACCAATTAAGTATTAATTAATGAAAAAATGTACCATACTATAAATAACATTCAATTAAATAATAATGAAAATAAAACCATTTAAACGTATTTTAAAAGTTTTTGATATATTTAAGCCGCTCTTGATTGTTTTCCTGACATTACCCTTTCCCCAAATAGCTAACCAATCAAAACAACCGAAGTTGACACACCTTCCAAACATAAACAATGTCAAGGTCAAGTCCAGTCTGCTGTACATACATGTACTACACGTGTTGTGGATGTCTTTACCTACGTTTTCTATGAGAACTTTACTTGGCTTTGCGAAACAACGGGTTTGAAATCTCACTAGTGAATTGTTCATACCTGAACGTGTGTGATATTTTCACAGAGCGACTACTGCGAGTAACTGAAATCCACTGTGACTGTCTCGGTCTGTCGGTGACCAGGCGACTACCCGTATTTGTCATATTCTACTGATTGAAAGTGTTAAAAAACAACACGATGCAGAGAACGATGACACTGTGTTCATGTCGATGTTTGCTCCGACAAAATCGACAGTCCTTGTTGACTGGTGCGAAAACATTTTCTTCCAAAATTCAAAGAAGGTCTGGGTTTGTATTAGAAGCTAATCAAACTATTTCAAGGTATGGACATAAGTTGTTATGCCAGAGGCTTCCCTGCAATGCAGTGGCGGGGATACATACCGAGACCATTGAGCCAGTTCCAGTGACCTATGACCCGAACGAGTAAGTTGCCAGAGGATCATATTGTACATGTATAAAAGGTCTAACGTTATGAATTACATTTACAGCTCAACCGTGTTAATTCTCGTCTGTCAATACATCCATGCTATGTAGTATGTGTGTATTGACAGACTAGTCTAGTACCTGTGGTTAATTTACATCAATCCTGATAAAACTTAAAAGCATTATGAGAAGTTCTTTTTACACAACCAATAGAATTGTTTTGGTTGTGTAAAAAGAACTTCTCATAATCCATACTTACCAACCCGAAGAAAATGTTTAGAAATATTAAAAGGATTATATTTGGATTTGGTCGATCACTCACCTGCATGGAGGAGTCATCATCATGTGATCCACCGACACTCAACTGAATGATAAATACATTATAAAAATATGTACATTTACATATAAGATTATGCCTATCACTCCTCATCGGGTTGAATTTACCCAATAGTCAATACTATTTAATACATATTCAATATAAGAAGTCATTGGACAACCCATTTTCTATAGGATATCTACACTGGTGCTATATATTATATACATATTAGAAGAAATATATTTCAGATAATTTTTACACATTTATGTATGTGTAGCAGAACTCAGGACAGGGACGATCATAGGCAACTAGGCAGCTCAATTGGTGAAGCATCCGTTTATAGAGTGTGGATGGTTCCAGGTTCGAATCCCTGTCTGGCTGTTGTATTTTCTGTCAACTATTCATATTCAAAATATTCAAAAGGGGAAAGTAGTAAGGCAGTTTTAGATTGTTCAAAGGAATACAGTTGCCATCTAGCTTCATGCTAAAGGGAATTTCCATTGAGCTCTGTGGTAGGGTGTACATCGGACCAAGGCGTCCTGGGTCGTGGGTTTGATCCCTGATTGAAGCACACCACTCTCTTTACTGTAACAGCTATGATATTGAGCACCACTTCCCCCTGTAAGTGTTTGATGTCTTTAATGCTGATTGCTACATGGTACAGTACGTGCCTGTCAAAAGTATCTTGTCACCTTAATCCTCTAATATGGATGGAGAAAGCAATCTTCATGGCATGCAATTACATGTAACATCCATCATTCTTCTTGTCCATTCTTAAAAGGTCAAGGTCAAATAAGAGGTCAAAGGTCAAATGATATAACGATTGTTCAAACCCTCTTAGTGAAAGAACCCTTTCTGATGACAGTTCACATATTTAACTAATTACAAAAATCACCAAACATAGTTATTCAGACCAATTGTATTGATTTTTAGGTCTTTTAAATAATAAAATTGGATTTAAATTTGGTTTTGATACCTGCTTATAATGAAAAATAGAGGTGTCATAAAGACGCTTATCATTTTTGGCACGTTCCAATTAGATGTATAGTGCAATCAAGTGAGAGAAAATTGTTAGGGTCGGAGGTAAAAAGTAGGGTCAGTTGAGGTACCTTATACATACTTTTTTCGGCTGAATCAATTAACAGATGAAATGTTTCTGTTCGTTTTACTCCCATTCATATCATTCATTTGCACAGTTTGATATGATAACCTCCCCACCCGACCCCCATGCATGTGTAACGCTTGCCTTTTCTCCAGTCCCGTCTCCCTCCAACGCTTGCCTTTTCTCCAGTCCCGTCTCCCTCCAATTCATCATGCACTGAGGGATATATTCTGGAGGCATCTTGAAACTCATATCTTTTTTTAACAGAGTTTGATTGAATTTGAAAAGGATGGTTTTACAGGAAAAAAAACAAATTTGTAATTTCTCCGGAATATGTACTCTGCCCAATCCTCTTATTCAAAACAGGATGCATTGAGTGATCACTGAGCTAGTGCAAATTGCTTAATATAACTTAGATGGGAATCATTATACTCCCCACAACAAAGAAAATGGGTCTCTCTCGGCTGATATTCAACTGTCTGAACAGAAATTTTGGTACTTGTACATATATATACACCATGCTATTTATTTTCATTTTGGAAAGGATTTAAGTTAGTGAGCTGTTCTTGCAACCAGACGAAAGCCTTTGGCTTATAATTTTAGTTAATTATGTCTGCAAATTATATTCAGCATAATAAAATAATTACATAATACTGACATTAACTCAGGAAGCTCTTTTTAACTTTATATCAGAGTATACATTCAAACAATTATGTCAGTCATCTGTCTCTAAAAATTCTACCACTGCATTAATTAAGTCTGCAGACACCTGTCCTGTCAGTGTCAGCTATATATTACTGTGTCATCAAAATTTCGTTGTAAAACAAATTTGAAATTGCATCACGTACACATGTACATGTACATAACGCAATTAGCATGTCATGAACCAATTGCAGTTTTAAATTAAAAACACTTTTTGTTAGATTGCATTGACCTTCAGCCAATATGAGAAAATTTCTATAATAATGGCTGATGTAACAAGTGATTAATATCTTTTCGAAGCAGTCTACAGTTCTGGACTTCCTGAAAGCTGCGTGTTGGCCTCTTCCAAAAAGATATAATTAACCATATGGCCACTTTTAATTTTTGAGTTAAAGTACCTTTTACTGTTGGTTTGGTTAATGTAGTTTTCTTCAACAAATGTTGTTTATGTTAATTACGTTATTGGCCCTAATGATTAAAGGGCATTTAAGAATGAAGTAATTCAAATGATGTATTTTACCTTTTATACAAAATTAACTGTAGTTTATTTATTACAATTGAAAAATTAAAAACGTACACATGTGCATATTTTAAATACCATAGGTTTCTATATATCTCTCAATGTGGTCATGCATGTTTGAGTATATCTTTATTGTTTCATTCAATGTCTTTTCATGAAAATAAAGGTTGCAATAAAAAAATAAAAATAAACCAGCTTTTCAATATGATACTTTAAAAAATTAAATATCTATATATTTTTTGTAACATTTTATGTCTGTGTGTTTATTTATATAGTAAATATGGCAGTCCTATTACCATATATTGAATACATTGTAATTGTGTAAAGTTGTATACAGGAACATGTGAAACACAATTTACCTCCTGCTTCACAATACTTCGTTCCCTGCTTTTTGTGCCATCCCCAGAGGCAGAATTAGAGAATGGTGTGCAGGGTATGTCGATGGTTACGAGAGATTAGAATGCTATGAAGTTGCATGTAGCGGAAAATTCTCATCAACATTTACCATGTGTCACCCCTGATCACCACCATTAATGAATTTCTGCAAGCATAATAAATATAATATAAATAACAAATATGACTTCCCCTCAACCTCATTATTGAAAATGCTGTTAAGGTAATCCACTGGTACATTTCTAACAATTAAAAAAAAAAGAGTTTCACTTCAGAAATGTTTTTAGACTTGGAGTAGCCTCCCTTATGTGAAGAGAAAAGAGCAAAATAAAGAGGGCTTTCAGATGTAAAATTGCTTCCCTTACAAAGATTCATCTTTCATTTTGATACCAGGTGATTTTAAAATTCCTGGATAGCAACATTGGTAATGTGTATGATTGGTAGTGAATAAGGTCTAAAAGTTCAACACCCGCCCTGCAACATATCCTTAGTAATTTCTGGGCTTTTGTCTTTATCTTTATTTGAATTACCTGGCACTACAATTATTTTCTGTTTTGTTTTTCTTTATTTGAAATACTTTAAAAAAATCTATATATTTGAAATATATTAATTTATTTTTTTGGTCATTATACTTATGAATACTAAGATTTGCTATGCATTGAGATATGTAAATTAAAGCAGATTAGATTTAGTGGTTTACAAGAATTCTGGTTCAAAATAAAGTGTGTTGTCTGAGATTTTTCCCCAATTTAAAAAAGAATGTAATTCAAACAAGGATATATGGATATATTACTTAAAAGCAGTTGAAGGGATACATGATGAGATAACCCTTCAGTATAAAAAGGAATCATACATTTACATGTACCTACATTAACATGCCTATAGGGACCTCAATATACTGTACTCAAAATATAAAAGATTGAATGGCTTTTTTTGAGTTCATACATGATACAGTTCCAGCATGAAAATTAAAAAAAAAAAAACGCTGTTCAAGCCATATATTTACATTTTTACTATAGAACAATTGTTTAATTTAATTTATTTGTTCTTAAATAAGTTTCTTATTTACTGCATTTTGTATATGCATCATCCTTTAAACGACATTGGCGGAACTGAGCCCTATCTAACTAAAATTGGTGCCAATAATTAACCGTTGTCATTTAAATGTTTGATGCAGGGGTATTCTCCATGTTATCCGAAGCGAAGCGACAAGAGTCTCATTGAACAAGCTTAATCTTTTGACGTCATAAGTAAACCACTTCTCATTAAACAATCTTCATCTTTGATGTCATAAGTAAACCATGTGTTACGTCACAAGAGTTTTTGTTTTCATAATGAAATGAAATGCATTTCTGCTGGTAATGTTCATATAGTGGGTTGCAGCGAAAATGTAAATATAAGTGTATATATCCATATTTCAATTTAAGGTTCTGTTAATTTGTAGGTTGGAAATTATAATTTTTCACAGCAAGCCTTCTCCTACGGTATGTTTTGAGGACTTTCAGTACTTTGATTACATTTTTATTTATTTATTTACGTTTTAGGTGTATGTATCCATATTTTGTATGTGCGTGTATCCAGTTAAGTATAAAAACACTAATAACTTGAATGGTATATGTGTACTTTAAAAGCTGAACAGTTATTTCTGACACACAAAAAGGAAACAGTCACAGTTGGTCAGGTCAATATTTGCATTTGACAGGTTTTGAACTGTGAATTATCTTAATGTCTTTGTTGGTAGACATAGGTTCGCGACTCTAAACACTAATACATATATTGGACCTCGACCAACCAGGATTTAAAGCAAGTCGCCAGTTGATTTCTTAAGTTAAATCAGTTAAAAATATTTCCTGTCACCTTGCCATTAAAACATAAAGAGAACAGTTAGAAAGATGTTTAATGATTAAAAAGGGATTTTTATTATTTTTATTACTGCATACAACTTTAACTGCAACTTTAAAATTACAATCATACCTTTTCTATTCTCATCTGGAGAATCAGTGCGCTATCTTGACATTTAACGAGTTAGGTACTATTTTTTGAATAACGAATGTTGATCCAATTTGCTTTAGTTCCTTTTGAAATTTTTGTTTAAAATATCTTTTATTGACTACTTTTACCTGGCAATATCTGATGGTTAAAATATACTGAGAGTATTTGTCATGTATTGGACATAAAATCCTGAAAACAAAAATTGGTCTTCCAAATTAAGCTAAGACCCCTATTATATAACCACTGCCAAAACTGTAACTACGCATTCGAAGGCATTTTTCCCGCACTGACTATATAGCTTCAATAAACTATTTGTGAAACAAAACCATACTTTGGGGGCACTGTCATGAAAAAATAATAAAGACGAAATAAAAAATTAAAATAAAATACAGTACAGTACTGTGTTCTGAGCATAAAAATTATAAAAATTCAGATGGAATCCAACCTGAATTTGAACCCTGGACTTCAGATTGTTATACCATCAATCTAACCAACTGAACTAGCTCAGGTCAGCGGAATTAAGTGTCCTGGCCCAACTGTTATGCAGTTACATCCGAATTGAAATTAAGGGGAGGTAACTGTACGTTAGCAAAACCGCATTGCAAAGGGACAGTGATCCACCAAGCTTTTCATTCCTTACAATATTCGCATATAATGCACCCTTTTTTAAGGAAAAATGAAGGTGTGAAGAAAGGGGGGCGCGCGCTTTACATAAGAATAATCCAAAAACAGTTCTTGGTCGCGACCATTTTTCGGGGATTTTCGGAAATGTTTTGAAATATATTCTCGCAGCAAGAAACTGCTAAAATTTTGTTTAGTAACTCCTGATTGCATTGTCTATTTTACCATTGCAAAAAGAAGCCATGTTATACGATAGAATCAGATAAATAAACTTATAACTTCAACTTCAGAACAGACCAAATGACATTATTAATTGACAAACTTTTGTAAAATTATATGATTATATGAAAAAAAGGTGATTTGAACAAGTTAATATCACAACTGAACCAATCAATTTCACCTGTTGCCTGTTCAGAATAAAACACAGCCTATCCTCAATACTAAGGGAGACTATTACAGGTTCACTATGTTATTACCGTATAATATTATCACAGTCAATTTTTTGAAATATTTTTTGAAGACATTTTCAAAAGATATAATTATACCATAAAATGGCATGTTGCTATGCATTTTACAAAATTATTATAGTTGTTTGAAATTTGAATGTTTGAAAATAAAAATAAAAAATGAAAACAGAAAGATTACAGTGTTTGAATTCTGGACCTCTAATCTTTAAAGCCAACACTTCATCAATGTTGCCATCTAGAAAATAAAAGAAGCATCATTAGTATCAAAATGATTGACCCCTTTATGGGCTGCCTATAATAAACATGACAGGGGAAGTTACTCTAAGTCTGGATACTCCTTTTGGTTGTTAAATATTCTGTTTTGAAGAAACATAGCTGTCAACCCTTCATCATAAGAAGGGAGACTCATTTTGACCAAAATCTCCCTCATTGAAGTCTAAACTCACACAAACTCAACATCTACATCATGTGGTCAACTGATCTTTTACTGCAGGGTGTGTGTAATGATCATAACAGGTGCATCTGTATCAAATGAAAGTTTTGATACGTGAAAAGGGAAAGATAAATCAATCAAGGAGCTTCGACAGTCGCGCTTCACGCACATTCTCCCTCATTTAAGATGTGGAATGAGGGAAATCTCCCTCATTGGAGGTTTCAGAGCTCGAGGTTGACACCTATGTAAAAGGGAGACTACTCCAAGTCACCAAAACTCTTGAGTGGAACTCTTCAAATTCTTTATAATTAAAACTGTGGTACCCTCAACGTTCCAATGAATCTCTAATATGGAAATTTGAGTCTCGGAGTGAGGCAAAATGATTGCTTTCTTTACTTAAGTTTCCTGCAGTAGTTCTAGCTATAGTGTTTTCTAAGCTTTGAATATAGATTTTGATTTGGCTTGCTATTGAATTGCATTTTATGCATGTATGTATTTGACATTAGCTCAATCGCACTTGTTTGATATTCAAAGGAGGTTACATAGACTGGCCCCTGTCTCTAGAATATTACATAGATATTTAATTATTTAGAAGAAAAAAAATACTTTAATAATTTTGATCATTTTGGATTACTGATCCTAGTTCTAAACTAGGGGGAGATAAGTTAGTAGTAAAATGCAGTTGAGAAATGCTTCATAAAAATTTCGGGCTGGTAGTCAGTTGAAAGTATGCGTATTAAGCCTGGCTTTGTTTCAGAATTATCTAACCTCAGACTGCCAGGTTTCTGTTGAAAAGTGTCAAACTTGAGTTCAGGAACAGTTACCATTGCCTTTGGATGTTGTCCTAGGCTCTACTGGTGTAATTTCCTTCAAATTTCACCTAGCTGTTATAATTAAATTTTGCTTATTTTAATTTTCCCCTTGTTTTTTTACCCCCTATTTCTGTTCAGAAAACGCAGCAGCAGGTATGTATGCTCCAATGTCAATCTCAGTAAGAAAATATAAACTTTGTTTATTTTACAACAATGGTCGGGTGGTGCAGTGGGTATAATATTAATACACCATGCAACCTTTCACCAGAACGGCTGGGTTTGATTCCCCCATTGGATGTTTAAATGTATGAGGTATAATTATATATACCTGCCAGATTATGTGGGTTTGCTCCAGGTACTCCAGTTTCCTCCCACATTACGACTATCTGCAGCACGTTTCTATCCAGGCCAACAAGCACGTGACAAATATAAGTCAGCAAACTTGTTTTATAATTGTTGTAAAATAAATTAAGTTTATATGTAATCTTAATCTCTGACCAATACATGTATGTAACATCAACTTTTCCATGTATCGTACAATTAATGTATATAGACCTAATTAGATTGGTATCTTGTCACCGGAGCAATGTGTTTTAATGTTAAACAATTTAACATAGATTTATGTCACCAACATAAGCAGACAAACAGACAGGGCACTGTATTTATCTGCAACTAACTTCAAATAATAACCAGCATCACTTTTGATAGCAAGGAGAAAGCTTGAATTGAATATATCATGCTGAATTTTTGGCAATTTTTCCACCATTTAAAGAGTATCAAGGATTATGACTGTTTTTCCAGTACCAAAGATTTTCTGTTCTTATACTATACGGTTCATAGATATGTTACAACCAACAAATTCATATTACTTTATAGTATATGTGTCAAAAAGGAATTAAACAAGATAAATGTTATTCGACAGATTTTTTTTTGCAGAACTCTTCTATAAAGGAGGTAAAGGACTTCATATTTTTTTTCTCCTCTGGGTCTTCATGGTTTAATGTATAAATGGCACATACTGTACTTTACAATAAAAAAAAACTTGTCTGATTTCCCTCAAGTTTATATATGCTTTATTTGTTTCTTGCGACATTATTTGAAACGTAGAACAGCTGTAGATTTTCATTTCCTACCAGAAATTCAGTTTGATATAAAACATTTCTGAAATTGGTGATTTTCTTTATACTTTGATTAAGCTTTTAATGTTGTACCAGTGTTGTTGTTTTTCCAGGGGTTATTGAATTTTGTGCATCCCACTAATTTTGAAATTTTGTCTGTATATAATTAATTCATTCACCCCTGAAGACACATTTGAACTCTCCCAACTCAAAGGTTTGAATAGTTCATTATGAAATTTCAGGGGTGAATGAGTTAATACTGCTTGTGTTTTACAGTGCATGGTGACAATGTTTTGTGTGTGGTGTCTGGATTTCATGTATTAACTTTACTGTAATTGATATTATAAGCACTCCTGACTCTAAGAAATTTTGGAAAATTAAACTTTATTTGCAGAATTTTCAATATCAAACAAAATTACCATAATTGCCACCTTTTTAAAGTCGGTTAAAGATAATTTGAAATTTGGCTAAAGGAATATGGGACACAAGGGCCAAAGAAAAAGGAAAAGGTGTGCTGAATTTGGTGAAATTTGATACATTGTACTAATAAATTCATAACATGTAAATTCTACACTTTGAATATGTATACCTTAACACTTAACCTCACCTAATAGGTTAAATCTAATATTTGTTGTCATAATGTCGTTGAAATATTATTCAACAAAGAACTGTTAATATAAGCACACTTGATCCTTTGAAGATAGATTACAAAAGCACCTTGTATGTGTTAATTAGCTGTTTATGTTCTGTAACATGACTACTTCTACCTTATTCACCGTATTCAGCATCCCTCCCTCTTTTTCTGTAAGAATTAAAATTATAAAGACCCTCCTGGGCCCAGCATTGACCTGAAAACCTGGTTAATGAATTTTATATCATTTACACTTTTAAGGATCCCGGTACTGACTGCCAAAAACTGTAACTAAGTGTCAGAAAATAAGTTTACAAAACTGTTTAATACTTTATAGATACCTTTGTTTAATGTGTATGAACAATCATGTACTGAACAATCATAACTTATGAATAATGTCATGTGTTTTGTTGTCTTGTAAAAAAATGAAATAAAAAAAACAACATTTTTAGAAACTGTTTCTTCTGGAAATGCTATAATGAACTTTAAAAAATTATTTCTGGAAAAAAAAAGAAAAAAAATGTGTCAGAAACTGTTTCTTCTGGCAATGCTATAATGAACTTTAAAAAAATATTTCTGGGAAAAAAAAAGGAAAAATTGTGTCAGAAACTGTTTCTTCTGGCGATACTATAATGAACTTTAAACAATTATTTCTTGAAAAAAAACAAAAAAAAACTTGCAGGACTTGAGTGAGAAATGATGAAGACGAAATAAACAAAATATCAACAACAGTGCTCTGTCAGAGAGCAAACCATCATTGGGGCTATACTGGGTTTCAAACACTGGACTTGTTATTCCGTCTTTGCGTATTGCAGAGTTATCTTCTCTTGAGAGCAGGTACTGATTGTTACGTCATTTGTTTGTGATAGTAACGTCATGAATTTTTGAGAAATGACGTCATTTTCTCACACGAACCAATGACGTAACAATCAATCCCTGCTCTCAAGAGGATAATCTCTGCAATACGCAAAGACGGAATACCATCCCTCTATCCATTTGTTTGAGCAACAGAAGATAAAGGGAGGTAATTAATTAATGTACAATTTGTATATACAATAAAATCACAGTGCACTGGGACAGGGTTTGGTTTGGTTTGGTTTAGTATTGTTTAATGTCCTATCAACAGCTATGGTCATTTAAGGACGGCCTCCCCTATGTACAAGATGCATGCGTGTATATGTAGTGTACATTGTATGCGTGTGTGATTTGGGCGGCTGCAATATGTTCGTGTTTGTCTCCTTGTGATAGCGTGGAACTGATGCAGACTTTATAGTGCTATCTCACTGAAACATTATAACTGCCTTAGACACCCAGTAGGACACCCCATCCGGTCACATTATACCAACAACGGGCGAACCAGTCGTCCCACTCCTAAATTGCTGAGTAGAAACTATCATTTTTACAGACTCTGGTATGTCTCAGCCAGGAGCAGAACCCATTTTTTAAGCCTTCCGCACAGGGGCGAACGCTCAGCTTAAGGCCAAAAGTGAGGCATTGTCAATGGAGACATTAGGAAGAAGAAAGTTGTCTAGAAAGAAGAGAAAAGATAAGATCCCAAATTTGTGATCCTTAAGCAGATATTTATATCTTGTGATCATATCGTGCAACAGGTGAAACATTTTATTTCCAAACCTCCCCCACACTTGAATGTTAACTGACATTCACCCCTGAAGACACATTTGAGCCCTTCCAATTCAAAGGTTAGAATAGTTCATTATGAAATTTCAGGGGTGAATGAGTTAAATATAATGCCACATCCTACTAATTCGGTGATAAAACAGTTGAAGTTCCATAACCTTTTATTTTATTACTAACATCTAATTTTTTGATTTTCAACACGTGCCCCAGGTGCTAATTAGGGCAAATACGGTAACTGTATTTAATCTTTTGGAATGTAATGTTTATATATGTATGTCAAGGTGACACTGATGACATTTGACGGACTGACAATTATTAAAAGGATCATGCAGTATATGAAAGCACAGGGAAGCAAATGGAATATAAATGAAGTGTCAAAATTAATCTTATAACTTATATTAAAATACTTACCTACGTGACAAAATGTCTGTGTGTCAGGATAATGGTAACACTGTGTTTTTTTTGCACTATGATTGATTTCATTCTCTTAATGCAGATTTAACCCTAATTCACCAATAATAGACCATAATGGACTCATCCATATCAATGCATGGTAGAGTCTGCTAAAGTTACATAGGGGTGAACGGGTTAATTGAGTATGATTTGTTGTCTATATATATAATATGTTGGTCCTGTTACTGTATACTAAGAATTTTTCATCAAACATTCACCTTTCACCCATAAAATCAAATTTGTGCGGTGTTAATTTCGCCCCTCACTTAAAAATACTATGTAATTAAGCTGTCTACTTATATTCGCTGTTACATGATATAAATCCTGCATCCTTAACACGTAGGGTGAAAAATGGCGAAAGTTAAACTGCGGCGAATTTTTCCCGGTATACAGTACTTTTTTGTTACTGAGACAATAAATATAAATTTGTTATAACTCAAGAGAAGATGTGTGGAAATCCACCAATATCCCAGTTGGTTAAGTTCCCATTTAAGGTCCCAGGTTATCATCCATGATATTTTCCTGGCTTCCAGATGTATAAGCCAGTGCCAGGATTATGGTTAAAATCTGCCACAATCCTAGTTAAATCCCGCCAAGATTCTAGCTATTTATAGCATCAACATGAAATACTACCTGGACCCTAGTCAAATTGTGCAATCAGCACCTTTAATAACAATTATAGAAATTTGGATGGGATTGTGGCGGAATATTACGAAATCCAAACGGTGTTACGCAGTAGGATCTTGGGAAGTCATTTACTGTAATTAAAATATGTGATTTTTCAAAACAAAATTAGAAAATTTATATTCCCATGTATTTTTTTGTCGTTTTTTCTAGTGGAATGGTAATGAATGTGAAAGATTTTGAAGACAAACTCTTCAACCACCTCGCTGACAAAGATGATAAAGTTTCTATCGGAAAATTCAAGAGTGTAAGGAAAAGTTTTACTAAGTTGAATTGATGTTGATATATAATTGACAGATCAGAAAGGATATATTGACAGATCAGAAAGTGCAGAATTATTCACCACCTGATCAAAATGAATAGGTCTGTTAAATGAGCTATTCTTAATTTAAAGAAGATCCAATTTTGCCTATTTTCCAGGTCCCATATTTATGAAACCATTCTCATGCTCAAACTCAGATTCTGTGCTGAGAAGCCCAATTTCTTGTTCTGGTAAACTGATGACACATCATATTTCACCAATGATTTTGAAAATTTTGGAAATCCAGTTTTAAAGCTTTACTTTTTAGGTCACCTGAGCTTTAGCTCAAGTAACCTATTGCTATCCGTTTTCGTCCGTCGTCGTCCGTCGTCCGTCGTCCGTTAACATTTTACATTTCAAACTTAAAGTCAAGTTCTGCTGGGCCGATTGAACTGAAAGTTGGTAGGAATGATCGCCTCATGGTCCTGACAAAGTGTTGTTATTTTTCGGGTCGATCAGAAATCCAATATGGCCGCCACGGCCGCCATTTTGAAAACCTATTTCAAACTTAAAGTCAAGTTCTGCTGGACCGATTGAACTGAAAGTTGGTAGGAATGATCGCCTCATGGTCCTGACAAAGTGTTGTTATTTTT